CATAATTTACACCATAAACTTAACTGGTATTCTATATATATTGATCACTGCTATTATACAGGAAATAGTAATTTTTAAAAAGGTTTCTAGATGCAGCAGCTGAAGAGTGAAATTTATTCCGTTATATTATTCACTGTTATTCTGCTAAATCATGTTTCAACTGGAGTACGAGAAACCAATCCTAAGATAGGGATTTAAGCACATTATCAATTAAAATCTGTATTTATATAAATATATACATGTCAAGTCCTAACCGTCTTTTACCTTATGATGATGCTTTCAGCACTCGGTGTATTTGCCGGAATGAAAAATGTCTTGTTCCTGGATGCAATGCGCTAAAAAGTCAAGAATGTGGTCGAGGTCAAATTCCGAAAAGGCTCTTTTCAAAACCTCAAGAGTACGATTTGTCAGTGCTTTACGCTGTGGAAAACGCATGTGATCATGATCAGGTTATCGGAAAATAAGTAATGCCCCAGAAAACAGGTAAAGCAGCCAGAATGATTAAGAAGAAAATAAATAAACAGTGATTGGATTACTAGCTTACATGTGGTTTGCTACTTTCTCCTTATAGTCTCATTATGACATATGACTTCAATCTTCATTGGTGGTATCGGATATTGAGGCAAATATTATAAACAATGCCCCAAATTTTGGGGGCAAAATTGTCCAAAAAAGTGGAAAGCAACCACCACCTTGGGAAGTCAAACTCTTGTAAATGGTTGTACCGGAGATTGACGGGGAGAAATACTAGACCTGCTGTATACCCTGCATGACGTAGGAGGTGACAAGTGTGAGCCCCTGATGAATCTTGGGTTTTCGTTTTATGTCTTTTTCTTTTTCTTAGGGGTCATTGAAGAAAGTAAAATGATCTGCTGACCTATTGTAACAGTTGGGATTTACATATTTTCCTTTCTCCCTTCTGTCCTTTCTTTCTATTCAGCTCCCCAGGCACATATCGTTTTATGACCCTAGCTGTTGCGAGGACGCTGAATCCAAAACAAACCAACTTCGGCATTTATAGAAGAGAGTTTATACACTGGAAAACAGATAAACCTAGGTTAACGTAGTTGCGGCGTCATCAAGTATATCAAGTGCAACAAAACACGCCGACGCTAAATGAACCGTAAGTAGTGTAGCTTCGGAAGCCGCTGTCATGTGGACACCGGTCAGCTGCGTTGGTATATCGGGTGTTGCTTTCTATTTTAAATTTATGAGCACGTGTTACAGGGGAGCTTTGATCATCCAGCCACCTTTGTTTCCATCAAAAGATTAATATATTTTCCCTTGGTAGGCAGAACATTGGATTTGTAGCTGCAAGATGAACGAGTAATTACTTATCATGTTATACTATTTTATTACATCCTTATCGGTATTTACAAAACGAAGTTTCTCTTATATCGAAGGTATCGCCATTTTTGGTACATAATTAAGTATTGCTAAAAAAGACTGAAGCATTTGGTCGTTAAGAATGATAGAAGACTCACCCTTTTGAACGATTTTACAAATCAATGAAACATTAGTATCAGTCTTGTAGCTACATCAAGATAGTGTGTTATCGTAAAATCTGGCAGCTTATCTTAATGTTTGATCTATACACCATATCAACACTCTCCACTAGTTTCGTTACATGCCATGTTCAATTTATTAATGTTTTATATCAGTTTTGATAAATAATATATTGCATGTCTCGTGTTAAGGATGTTTTATGACAGTATGGTAGGGGGTACTTCCGCAATCGTGCGTTAAGGTAACCATAGCTATATCTGAAGGACTATGATAAAAAAATTACACAACCAATCAAATTGTATTGACGTTTCGATGACTAGTACGATATGTACCCTGTCACCTTCATCAGACAAATGACCAATGAAGCGTATGCACACAAAGGTGTAAAATGTGTACGAGTTGTCTATAAAATCGATGTCGATTTCGGCTACGCTGGAAACATATGTACAAAAGTTGTTATATATGTACCGAAATGACTCAATTCAGCTACGCTTTGTTAACACTTGGTATAGATGTTCAAGAGTCTTTGAGCCCCCTCGTCTCGAGGGAATTTTCTTTTCGAAAAAAATATGTTTATTTATGATTTCAAAGTAAGATGTAAACAGTATAGTTTGTTTATATATCGAGACATTACAATGTGTTTTTTGCACTTTTAAATACTACTTTAAAGACGACAATGTATAAGCATCATGTCGATAAATGTGTCATTAAACAACAGAAGCAGATAAGACTTGATGAAAATACATCGTAGAAGCATTTCGCTGTTTCAGAAGAATGTCTTTATAAGCGGCAGGTAAAATACATTACGAAAGAATAGATGTATATAATTTATCATCCCAATGGAATTAGAATATCCAGGAAGTCACGTATTTGTCTCTCGACAAACGCACCGCTCTAATAAGACAAGCCATTCGGATTGATATGTATCGCCTGTGCCCCGCTTTGACCATCAATGCACATATCAGATTTACTAGGTTAAAAGCAAAAACTTAATGTTTATGAAAATGCTGACAAAGTCAATGGACCATGAAAGGTAGGCCGCATCCAGCATTTGATGCATGGGCTGAGAAGTACTACCTAAGATGCATGTATGGTGCAAGTTTGGATTTCTAGCACTAACACTTTCATTGTAATTAACTTAAACGCAAAAACTTAATGTTGATTGAGATGCTGATAACGTCAATGGACCATTGAAGGTAGGTCACATCCAGCATTTGATGCATAGGTTGAGATGTACTACCTGAGATGCATGTATGGGCCAAGGTTGGTTGGCGTAGCACTTATACTTTCAGAGAAACTAACTTGAACACAAAAACTTAATGTTGACGCCATTGTGTACATTAATGTTTTAAAATTATTAAAGATATCATTTAAAAAAGATGATACAAAACAATTTCGAGTTCTCTATCTAAAATAGGTGTAAAACGCAAATGCTAAACGGTCCTTCTTTTTTCTTATTAAAAAAAATCAATTTCAACGCGATATTCCCGAGGCTTTCATTAACCGATTCTTGCGCACGCGCAGTTGGTCTAATCTGAAAGCATTTGGTACATGTAGCACCGCCATTTTAAACAACGTAAACAACAAATATATTTTCAGTTTGAAAAACATTTTCTAATGCTATTTGTTCATCTCTAGACTTAAAAAGATGCATAACTATGTATTTTAAGGATACATTCTATCATTACAATTGATACAGTTATTGACTATAAGAATTTTGATGATTTGGTCCTGCCTCCTTACAGTATTTTAGAACACAACTTGTTCTCTAATATACACTACTAATTCAAATTAATCGTTTTTAATATTGTCAGAATAAATGTATGCACTATTTGTTGCATGTGGATAGTATTTTTAAATAATGGTGGTGTGCAACCATAAACGAAAGTAATGACCGAGTTGTCGCCCTTGGGAGGTGGACGAAGAAGGATAGAGGCCCGAAGGAAGAGGATAGCTTGGGGTGAAAAAGCACGGGCGCGAAGGAGAAAACGATGATCTGGACTGGTGGTAAGCGCGAAAAGAGACTAAGTGGACGTTGTCCGGGATGGACATCGACACGTGTATGGTCATGCCAAAGAATCGCGAGTGAACTGTTCGTGTTGGCCAATATTCACGTGAAATAATCCCCCCCCCCCCATCTTGTGGGGTGTGGAGACATGTGTCGCGTACGCGTGTGCAAGTGACATTTGGGAGGCAACACCGGTGCTGGGTTACATATCGTGTGATACGATACATTGTTGTATTTGAAACGATATACCGTTGTATATATAAATGTTTTACTTGTTTCAACGCCTCTGTTATATTTCACAGCTCCAACAAACAAATAATTTTAATTATACCTAACGAAAGATCCCAAACAAATTATCCAAAGATCCGTTCTTTTGACAAATATTTTTTCAACATTGAAAACGCGTATCACAAAAGTTATATTGTTTTCACATTGTGATCTCAAAACATTTTGTATAGTTTCCACAATGTTTGAGCTCCGCAATTTGTGTAGAACAAATCTACAGGATTGATCATAGACCTGATAAGGCTATGACCAATATTTACCTGTGTGCTAGGGTCGAATTGATTGTTCTGTTATAATGATATATCATGTATCATTGTGCATATAGTATATGTTATTGCCGTTCAAATGATCGTTCTCGAAATTTGTACTGTTTTATTTGGATACACTAATGGATCAAGAGCTTAACATGTTAGATTTTCCCAATTATGTATTACCAAATAAATGTGAACTTGTTACAAACAATCTCAGGGAAGTTTATGTGAATCACAGCGCGTGTCCCTTATTGTTGTTGGCAAAGAACACACAGGTAATTGTTTACATTTTGTATTGACCAATATAGAAAAGTGGGTCAATTATTTGTGCTTTATATATTGTACAACACCCAAATTTTCATTTATTCCACTTATGAACATACTTTGTCAACATAAATGAAGTCAAGTAAACACTCTCTTTTCTAGGTGTATACAAATTGACCCCTCTTTTTGCTTTTTTAATTCCAAATGTGGCTTAACTTATAGCAGAGCATATCATGACAAATATCACGCGCCTTCCATTTAGATTTCACCCAGTTGTACCTAGACACTACCAGTGAGAAAGGTATTTTCATCATCACAATTTATACATTTTGCTTCCAGATATTTCGAAACACAAGAGTAAAATAATTCTGTGAAAACAATTTTTCTTTTCAAAATACTATGATAAATATCTATGCAAAGTGTTCATATCGTACTATTAATACGATGGAGCTACATCTTGTTTACTGATCTGATCGTTGGTCTGATGGTTGTTGTGCCTACCCACAACGTCATATGGTTTTCTTTATGTGTGTAAGTAATATACATACATGTTTAAATCAGAAAGAGCTACCAGGTTTTTAATTAAACAACAAACCTAGAAGAGGGGCACCTATGGTGCACTTCACATTTATGGAATGAGAGAAATGTAATGCCAAAATATCAATAAGAAAAGTAACATATCATTTTTGCCATTTATTTACTATTATCAAAGTATCGATCAAACAATAGTACAAGGTTTGCATGTCACAACATCATTAATAAACGTATTTATGTAGGATTTCAACTCAAAGTAAAAGGAAATAAATAAGAAATACAAAAGATTACTTGACTACTGGAATTGTGTTCAGATTTTATTGTCAAATATCTCCTATTCTTTATCATGAACATTGAGATATTGCCAGAATCTAAAATGTGTATGTTATTAAGGCTTCACTGTGGAAGTGTCGGTACTGTCAATATCTTTTTACCCGAGCAGATATACTCGTTTTGTTACCTTTAGTAAGTTTCTGCACTTATTTGATTTTCGGAGCTTTACTGGAAAAGAATCTCAAAGTTACGGGTTATGGATGATAAACAGAAATAAGGAGTTCACGGGAATAACAATATATTTAATATATATTGCATTTTTAATAAGTGTGGCACGTGCAATTTCATATATTTACTTTTTGTTTTATAACTGTAAGATATGAATCTGACAATAAATAGAATAATATAAACATATTTTTGCAAGCATTATTATTCAAAATAGAGGGAAGAATGTTATGAAATATCGAACGTATATGGTCATCCTGGTGATGAGAAATAAAAGCATTTACAATGTAATCTTTGCAGTTAACTACAGCTGTTTTACTCCATTATTGAATAAGTGTACTTCTGTCAGAGGGCGAACGAAAAACACATTCTTACTCTTTCACCGTTCTCTCTAGCCGTTCACCAATTCGTGTTGAAAAGTTAGATGACAGTATTACAAATCACAAGATGCAGATTTTCTGATCACATGCTGATAAGGGACTTCAGAAAAAAAAATATGTTTTGGTACATTTTTGCTACATTCATCAATATGTTCAGTTATTTACACGATTTGATAACTACATGAAAGAAAGTAGTAAATACTAGGTATAAGCAAAACTAAGTAAAAAAGTCTTTTCAATATGGCGTCAGCTTGATGTCATTATAATATGACGCAGCATATGCCTATTACTTCTTCCACTTGTTTGACACGGTAACACGTTCTCTGTTGTAGTGTTCATCGTTTTCACTTTGTACACCATTTCCGTGTAACACGATGTACTGCCGTTCTTATTGGAGTATATACCGCCGCACTCGTAAAAGTCATTCGTACTTTGTCATTGTAGTGACATATTCAAACTGTATTCGTATGTCTGTGAAACTGGTGAAATATATATATATATAACATAAATTTACCTTTATTTCCCTTATACTAAGCACCAATACCTTTATAGAATACACGTGTAAGTGACGAATCGAATGAAACACTATTTTTAGATATCTAGATATCTTTACCAATCTATCAAAATAATGATAAGCGTGCAGCAAATCAATTACAAAACGTCAACCTGAACAGAACATATTGCATTGACAAAAGGATACACATGCTATAAACATGTGAAAGTATGTTCACGTGAAACAAATCATTATACCATGTATGTAAAATATATGCAAAGGTTTGTGATTTCCAATAAACACAAAGTATAATGTAGCCTATGTCTTCTGTCATTGATATACAAAGAGAAACAAGACGTCTACAACTGCAAAGCATATCTTAAAAGGGACGCAACCCTCATAACGTTCTTTATTTAAACACAGAACAAAAGTCTCGAAAAAAGTTAATATACTACATGTGTGTTAAATATGAACAAAGTTTGATGTACTCTAATATATACAATTCATAATGAAACCTATGTCTTCTATCCATTATTTACAAATAGACATTGGACGTTTACAACTGAAAAGGCACATCATTAAAAGGAAAGTAATTCTCTTATCAATCCTTTTTAAACAAGGGACATAATTCCTGTCGTCCTTTGATTTTCCGTTGTTTCACTTGTTCACGTGTCAATCTACTGGAAACATGGTCCGCTCACGTTTCCGTCTATTAGATGTCCTTGGCCTGACACTATCTATTACTTCAGCGTTTCTCTTCTCCAGTTCCTCGGTCAGTCCCTTTACCTGTAAACAGGTATATCAATATCAATACCATTCCATAAGGGTGAAAAACTATAGCACTTTTTCCATATTTAAATTTTAAGGGTGATGTTTTCATTGTTCAATTATTATTTCAATAAATTATTTTACTAATCACATCTCAATTGTCATAGATAGTAGAAATGCTATCAGCATCAGTTTAGATATTTAACCACAAGAAAACTAATGTCAGGATTATTATCACTTCACGAAAACCGTGATCGGCTGTGCAAACCACTTACCCACACATAGAAGGTGGCGCCACCTGCACTGACCATGCGAACCTGGTCCAGGGAGAAGTCTCGTATCAGATCACGTGCACCAAGCGCAACATCCAAGGCGATAGAGTCCACATTTAGTTCCTGTATCCTACGTTTAATGGCTTCCTTTCCAAGTTTACCCAGGGTTATTTGGACATTTTTCCATTCCTGTTGTTAGATAGTGTTCAATTTATACCATAAAGCTGCTTTGTAACGGTAATGATACTACAATTTTAACCATTCCAACAAAACTGGTATGTTTGTTTCGTTTAAACAAGTTTTGAAGGTTTTTCTAAAAAAGAATATGTATTTATTGTTTCTTTATTTAAATATCTAACAATTGATTTGATACAACAACCTCATTTTTTACTAGGGATTGTTCCGAGGTAGTCAATACATAATTTATTGGTACACTTTAGCGGTCCAGAACAATGAATATTTGTACCTCAGTCTCCTCCTCCCAATGGCCCAACAGAAGCAGGGTTGCCATCATCACCCTGTGAACTGCAGGAGGGGGGTTATTGTAACAGCGGATCTCTGCTATCGTCTTCTGGTCCAGAGTGAGAACAGCGTGCAAAAGTCTTAAAACAAATGAAATATTATTTTAACATGCAACGTTTATACCGACATACCGTCGGAGCATAAGGCTTACGATGTCGAACACGACAGCTGCACTTGTTTGTTCTATGATGCAACTTTCGGGAAGAATATAGGAGGATCAAACTTTGGATATGCTGAAATTCTAGCGTGGTATTATTGTATTTATTTTCAAAATTCTATCAGGTTGTTATTGTATTTATTTTCAATATTTCTTTTGGTAAAATAAAACACATGGGCAAAATACAAAAACAAAACGCTGATATGAACGATCAGCAACAACAAAACAAATCAAAGCAGGAGTTTGCCGATATGTTATATCATACGATGGAATAATTAATTATTACTGGAGCCATCTTCAAAGCAGTCGTATGTATATTTATATTGCTATAAGAAATAAAATATAAGAAGTTCTGCAATCTTTATGATGAGAAACAAATCAATATGATAGAAAAATGAAAATTAAATAAAAGTATATACAATAAATAAATGAATAAATAAGGAAATGCCGATCGTTGTTATTGGGTTCAAAAGCATGGTTTTCACATAGGTTATATTCTCAGTACTGAAATATAGCATTTCTAAACATTTTTTCTTATTGTCCTTTGTGATAAGTAACCGCGAAACAGCGGGTAATGTATTACTTGTTGATATTCCGAATCCTTTCAAGCATGCTGCGTGCATTCACGACCTCTCGTTCAAGTCTGACTTCCAGCTGCTTCTCCCGGACTTTTTTCAAAACTTCGCGTATAATATGCATGTCCTTCTCAGTTGTTGCCTCAACCAGTTCTAAAAATAAGATACAGTGTATTTGTATGGTCATGAAAACGTAATGGAATAAAATAGATTATGCACTATATGTGTTAATGAGTTTTACATTACAAGACATATTTGGTTTAACCTAAAAATTAAATAAATATAGCTGACCCCAGTGGTATGACTATCTTCAGGACGACCTCGTTAGAAACATTTCACCAGTACTTCTGGGCTTAAATCAATACTTACGGTTGTACGTCTACATGTTAACTTAAAAAACCTATTGATTGATATTTTGTTAAATTATTTAAGCCCGTTGGGTGTTATGTACGTTTGTCAGCAATATAAATGTGTGTATTAGACCATCACAATATTTGCTAAAAAAATCATTATTTTTATTTACTTTTGATAGAGTAGTTATGCTTTATTTAGTTATTTCAAACAGTTCCTTTGGAATTAAGTTTTGACAACAATAAAATGAATGACGTTACAAAAGAGATTGATGACGTTACATTAGCAAATGCTGTCATAGTCTCATAACAACATTTGCCTGCCCAATGCATTGAACTCGAACGATGCAGAGCAAATGTAAATATATTAATATGAAGGTTTTTAGGAAACTTTTATAAAATCGGATTTCTCACCTCGTCGACATCGGAAGACGTCCAATTCCTTTTCAGCTATATCTATGTCATTTTTTGTTGTAGGCAGACCTAGCGCTTTCAGCTCCTCCACTGCTGATTCTAGATCCTTATCGTTCTCCTCGTAAATGGCGTTCCTGATACGCTCACGGAGTTGATTTGGCAAATCTATAGAAGGTAGGAAGTTTATTATACCGTTTGTTTCTTGTCATACATGCTTCATTCTAAATTTCAATATATACAGATTCATCACATGATTCTTACTTAGCATATACAATCATAAATAAGAAAAGAAACACCCATTGTGACGTCACGAATTGAGTAACGTCATGAATTCATGGGAAAAGCCCAAAATCTGTATTTTGGTAATGCTAATTTCACTTGATTTTGTTACATTTGTGTGTGTGTTGAGTTTCCATTGTCAGTTAGATTGTTTGGTAAAACGAGTCTCTGTATCTTTGTTAGGAACCTCGCTGAAGCTTCTTTTGTTAGCAATTATGCAATTGAACTAAATTAGATTGATGCAGACATATTAGGTACCAGTATGATAGAACGATACGAACTGTGTCTGATTTGAAAATATCTGTAATGGATTTTATTTGTGTAACGTGCACCGTGACCTATTTGGTCCGTCCCAAGTGCCTCTCGGGATATGCTGTGCAGTTACGGTAGCTTCGCCTTAGCGCACTTGCTTAGTAGCGCAGAGACTTCCTATATAAATTGGACCCAAGCAAACTTAATCAGACTATATTTAGTATTATTTACAAAGGCTTTTAATACGGTAAATCTATGATACAGTTGCATACAATAAACAGGGTCGTGCTACTTGTCACGGGACTCACAATTACAATACACATTTAACGTTAATAGGGGGGGGGGGGGGGNTTCTGTTCTTACAGCGCACCGGCTTATTCAGCGCGGCGCACGGCACTAACAACTAGCACACGACTATTACAAGTGCTCCGGGCACTAGTACAGCGCAGTGACAACCTTGCGCCCCGGCTTATCCAGCGTAGAGCACCGGCTCACACTGTGTAATAGCTACACCGTGCACAGGCCTAACATCCGCTAGTCACCCTAACCTACTGCCTCACGACCACTGGTCACTTATTCAGCGACCAACAACTACCACGCTATGAAAGACTTATGCAGTCCTTCCACAAAGACTTATCCAGCCTTTGTATATACCTTATCGTTGTTGTATCTCGCCGTGTTCTTCTGTCAGCATCAGAATTCTCTCCCAGAATGAGATGAAGCCTCGCTTATATACTGCTAGCTCAAACCATTCTGGGGTAAATCAGGTTATCCCATTTTTTTATGACGTCACCAACTTTCTGGTCTTACGAGCGCTTACAGCCTATGCCAAAAACTATGTAAAAGCCACAAACGCAACCTAACACTGAATACACATGGTTTATTTACGCGATCACGTTAAGCTGACAATACTCCACACGTACACACGTACCTCTCGACAGGACACCGGAAATAAACGCCCCTGGTACGTAAACACACTCAATAACTTGCTTAACTATTCATTACATTTGTATTCTTGGTAGAATGAAATGTCTTATTGGGATAAAAATCACTTTCAATGTCATTATTTCAACAATAACGATAGTTTTGAGCATTCCATGTATAACAGTTTAAAATTATTTATGAATTTTAATATTGATAGATAAAAACGCATGACGTGGATTGCACTATTTTCATGTTTGCTTTAATTGTTTGATTCAGTCGTTACCAAAGTTAAAAGTGATTGGTGAGTGTAAAGAGCAACAACTCTGGATTCCATGAAACGAAATTCAGCAAGGTCATAATGCTACGTTTACATTATGTTCCCGGCGGCCACGGCAATCACGTTTAAGGCCACAGTGGACAAAACGAAATTGACGTGAGACAACACGGCAGTCACGGTGCGGATAATAAACCAAGTAGGCCGTAGTCGCAACAAAACGTCACAGCGCGTTTAAGGCCGTAACAAAACTTGGAGGCGGTCCGTTGTGGGAGCTTAATTCGAGTCTCAGGATATTATGATTACTATTGCTTGGGAGGTGTTCTTTTTATACCGTGGGCACAAACGTGCTCCAAAGCTACTCGGCGTCCACGTTTCATCCGTAGAACGTCATAACAGAACGTGAAAAACGTGAGGTACCCGTTTTCAGAACGTGACGCGCCGAGAGGAAACGTAATGGTAACTGTAGACCGCGGGCCGAACTGTAGTGCGCCTTGGAACCTCCGGGGCTCAGCAGCCCATTTCCCCTCACGGCCTGTCACAGATACCGTGATACACCATGATAAGACTTAGCAAGACCTAATGAAAAAAAAACTTGAACAAAGAGAAAAACATGCCAAATCCCTAGGCGCACTACGTTTCGTGCAAAGGGGGCTGCCGTGGCCGCCGGGAACATAATGTAATAGTTACGTATACCATAGAAATATAAACTAAATTTCATAAAACATGTATGTGGCAAGAGGATAAATACTGATAAATTTTATCAAATAAATTAATCAACACCATTAATTCCGCTTTGTATTTCAATGTCTTTGCATTATTCCCTATGTCGTTCTAATTGGTGTTATTACAAACGTAGCCAACATTTTTGTTTTTATTAGTTTAACAAAACGGTTTTATCATTATTTAACAATGTTTAAACACGTAACATATTGGAACAGGTACCTAACGATAAGTTCTTGCTTACTTGTGACGACGAATTTAGCCCTTTTTTTTAATCTATGCGCCTTTATTGATAAAAACGTTTTTTATTAAATAAAATTGTTATCCTCTGATCTTATATGGTCTTAAACAAATTCAAAATCACAACTTAAGCACTAAGGATACATGAAGATAATACTTTAAAAAGTTTATCTGATATTTAATAGATAAACGTGCATAACTGTGAAAAACGTAGGTAACATAGTAGTTACACAAATAAATATTAGGAAACTCACATTTCAAATTAATCCTCAATGGCAAGATCATAATCGAGTGAAGTTCGATGAACTGTTTTAGCACCTAATATAAAAATTTAAGGACCTTATTAAGTGATATAAATCCCGACTTCGTCTCGGTCAATATCACCTTCTAAGGTTCATATAACCACATATTCACCTTAACAAAAGTCCTTAATTAATAAAAAAATTTAAAGTGTAAATTGTCCAAATTGTTTTATTGCAAATGTGAATTATACATCAGTTAATTACAAACAAAAATGCTTTTGCTTTACCCTGATTTCTCTGGTATTTTTTTTTATAGATAGTTTTTATTTCGGAAGTTCAGAATATTTTTGATTTTAACATAATTATGATCATACTTCATATATCGAATGGGCAACTGTTTTTTCTCCAGAAGAGATCTTAATAAATCCTAGTGTAACACCAGCCGTTAATGAGTAGGAAAAAACTAATTTGTACAGGCATAGTGGTACTTATTAACTGTAACCATTAACGATTTGAGATATCCCGAAAAAGTTCTGTTTTGAAGTAAAAATCGTTGCGAAACAGTCGATTAAAACATATGAGACAACGAAATGCCTCATTGCCTCTGGATAATTTAATAATTGATGGACCGAACAATGTTAAGAAGTAAACTTACGAGATCCCAGGGACTTCTCTCTTACTCCCCCAGCTGGTGGTTGATCCGACGGTCGAGCTGACGTGGCTGTCTGGCTGCCAATCTGTGCTTGTGCTGCAGGAACTACCTGTGTCCTTTTTGTTCGGTTTTTCTTGTACTTTACTACATAGTCGTACATGTCTTCGAATCCCTTTCCTGTGTTGCCCTTCAGTCTGAGTCCATAGTTTCCGTTCTGGGGAAAACGGACAGTGAACCGACAAATATTGCCATCTTGTTCCTGGGTTATCAGTCTCTTGGCCACTTCGGGTCTAACCATCTTGCCTGATAAATTCAGAGAAAGGTCAATGTTGTTGTCGTTCTGGAATTCAAGCACAATTTCTTCGTCTTCAGTCTGGATAAATCCCGAAGGATGTGATATTGCCGTAATCCCCGCTGTCATCGCTCCTTTTTTAGGACCGAGTTTCTCATTAAAACCACGAGGGAAGGCAAAATTCTCACCTATTTGTCTAGAGGTTACGAGATAGTTGCAAAAGTTTTGGTCTACTTCCTCTCCGTTCTCTTTTGTATACAACTTCAGGGCGTACTCTCCCTGACGCGGCGTGTTCACATTGAATATGATGTCGCCATTTTCGTACCTTTGCACAACGTGATCTGATAAGTCCTCCGCGGTATTTCCACCTTTGACTAACTCCGCCCTCACTGACTTTGCGCTCCAGTCTTTCCCGTCCACCGGACTGAATTTCACCTCCAATGCACCGGTGTCCTTGGCCTCAATCTCACCGGCAAAGTGGCTCATGGGAGCAAGGCCGCATTCGATTGTGTCCCGACCTGGCCCCCAACCTATGACAGGACATTCTGGGAAAGGCTCACAGTTCTCTTTCTCGGTAGTAAATATGATTTTGAATATTGTCAACCAATCGTAATCGTAAGCTGGGTCATCCACTGTTACGTCCTTGCCGACTAATTCAAATCGGAACGTGTCGACGACAGGTGAACGAATCCGGATGACGAGAATAGTTTCATTGAGCCGATGGAGGAACACGTACCGGTCATATCTGAGGGCAAACAACGATATATAAATATATAGCATATACTACAGGTTAATATATTCTTTTATATTAATATATGAAAAAGAGAACTTGTTGAAAATGCGATTAAAAGCTACATGTCCTGACCCATTATAAGTCACTGTTATCACGTAAGTGTGCTTAACTAAATGTTAACGCTATATAAATCATATTATATACATTTTCCAGACAAAAGGATGCATTAATGCAAATAATTAGAATACAAACATTTGAATAAGTACTAGAAAGTTTGTTTCAAAGGTCTTTTAGAGCACGAGTGTATCCTGTGTAATTACCTGTGTAGAGAACCTTGTGAAGAGGTGCGCTTCAGTCTAAACATTAAATACTGAAAATCCATGTCCATGCACTTATCTTTTGGAAGTTCAAATTTGATCTCGACTTCCCCGGTAGCATGTACAACACATTGTTGTGGCGATATCAATTTTAGCTTCAAATTGTAAAATCTGTCTTTCAGGAATGCTCTTTCCTCGAAGTTCTCCTCAGATACAGGCTTATTCTTAAGCTGCCAAATCGGATCACTTGGGAGATGAGTGCTGGCCATTTGATCAGGATCTGTTAAAAAGTAGTTCTCGTCACAAGAATAGAAAAGCTGTTTGCTTATTTGTTCTCCTTTGACGTCCTCCCCGCCTCCTCTTTCAACCACTTCCCATTTGGTGTCCTCGACTCCACCCTCGGCACACGTGCCCCAATAGGCATTGATAAAGCGCCAGTCGCCGTTCACGAGGACGGCATTCCATTCCCCATAATGCTGTTCGTCATCCATCCGCTCACCGACCTCGTATGTGGAACCCTTTAACTTGCCGTGTATTATAACACAGGGAATTTGTGCAAATCTGAATGAAAAAGCAATTATGTAAAACAAAATTATTTTCATTTATCTTTGATAATGAGTTTGGGTATAAATAGATCAAACTTAACGTTGTAAACTGTCTTTTAATGGAAGTGGTTAAAATGGGCATGGCTTCATCAGCAGAATAATTTGCACAAATTTTGGCAACATCCATTATTTAAAAACGCATGCCTATATGGTTAATATAGCCTTATACATAAATATATTACCCAAACACGTTGCCTCAATATTATATAATAGAATGTTCTGTGCAAAAAGACGTTGAATTGCTCAAATCGAATGATAGCATAACAGACGTATTTGTGTATAAAATATAACCTAACTTACAGGATAAATGGATATCTTCGCATTTCTATTTAATGCTGGAAATAAATATTATCCCTTTTTCAACATTATAATGGTTAAGGTATAATTCTGTTTGTATTTATGAGTATTTATATTAGCGCAATTGTACGTATCCTGACTTATTTTGCAATGATTAAAAATATAAACCAAATGTTGTCCTACTTCCAAAAAATACCTCTTGTGATGAATAAGATAATGATATACTACACCTGCACAGCAGACTGACAAGCTGGGCATAATTTCCTTTTCGGTGTTTTATTCGCCAAAGCTGGAACTGTGTATGCGAATGGGGCGGTTCCTTCTTCTCAATACTTAGTTGATCGACAGGTTGAGCTGTCACCCATCGGTAGATGGCGCGCATCTTGGACATGTCGTCCTGATAACCTTCTGTCAAATACTCCACCAACGTAGATAATGGTTGCTTAAGCAATTTTGCAGGAGCCTGCAATGGGTTAGTTTTTATGATGAATGCATCAATCTGTGTATTATTTGCAGTAGATTGGTAAAACAAAATTATAGCTAGCTTGCTATTAACTTCATCAAATTGATTCACAGGAACCTGATAATTTGTTACATCTATATTTGAAGCTAAGATGTTTAGAGCAATTTTACACGTTTTATCAAACTGGTTTTTGAATTTTGTATCGGTATTTTAGGAGCCCCGATAAAGGGTGTTAAAATGGTAATTAAGAATGCACAATAGAAGTATAATATAATATATTAAATCTGAGAAGATTTATTTAAAAACGAAAGAAAATTTGGACAGGAAACATGGTTTTAAGTCGCATTATATGCAACATTTAAAACAGCACTGTAGAACATATTGAATACATATATTTCAGTATAATCACACAAATCCTGGCCAAAAAAGTTTTTGTATTATATTGACTTAAGAAATATGAGAGATAGTGTAAATATGCCATTTTTTATTCAAACAAGTAGTACATAACAATCTTTAGCTTCTAGAGAAAAGTATGAACCTCTCTTTATTATGTTAACTCGAACATCTTGATAACATTGCATATCAAGGCAAATGCAAGGTCAATAGGTTTCACAGTAACTGAAAAAACCCGAAGTAGGTTACCTCAAGGAGCTGCCTGAATTCAATGTAATAAATGGTTACTTTAGCAACATTGTTATTTTATCTTACCTGAACAGCTCTCATGTCCACAGCAGAATACTGTTTTGGATCAAATATGACGTCTTTGAGCACAGATGGAGGTCTTGGTTCCGGAAGTTCATCCACTCCATGGAGGGAATCAACATAACAGTGATGCTTCTCCGAGAGTTTAAAAGATGGAATCAACTGATAGGTGGCGAACAACCGTCCCAACTCAGGAGCAACCTGGCAACACGAAGCATTTTTTAAGTAAAGTACCTGGGTGTATATGTTGTGTACCTATCATTGTCAAATATATCGTCATTATAGAAAACAACGAAATACAAAACAACACTAGATTAGTTTCACACAGACATAATCTCAGCTTTAATCGATACAGATGAAAACACAAACAATGTAGACGGCTTCGAGTCATTTACAATTATACAGACGGTACTAGATTTTTTGGGAGGGTATTCATTATACCGTTATTTTCAATGTAAACTTTTAGAACTTCGTTATGTAGATAAAATAGCTATTTTATATAGAATTGAAAGTGCTGTAGAGTTAATAGTGAAGTTGACGAATCTGTCCTCTAGAATTAATAGTTCTTAATGTATTTCAGTGACATTCGTGTTCCTCTAGATTTGTACTCTTTACAAAATCCAAAAGCATAATATTAACACCAAAAGTATTCAATGCATGTTAAAATACTGAAGATTTCTTCAAATGAATATGTTTATTTTAAATTTCCTGAAAATCTGTCATAACCAATTATAATCAAGAAAATACAAAGGGTTGAATGAACGTATAAGTAATTTACAACTATAGCGTTATTTGTACATTATCACTTCTCCTTATTTATTATGCTGATATGCAAAAATTATAGCAAAAAGTCGTATACAAGCAAACACAATAAACAAATAAAAGTGCTGATTGTACGGTGCATTCATGGATATAAACAATTTAAGTCATGAACGTTTAATCTGTCTTAAATAAGTCAAGTGTGAGTTATATAGCTACGGCAAGTGGAATGAAATATCAGCATGAAAATAAAATATAATGAAATTAGGTGAGGTTTAAACGTAACTCGACAAAAAGGTGATTTCAGATTATTAAGATTGTAAGAACACAAAAGAATTGTTGTGAAATAATCGACAGATGTTAATATTTAGAAAACCACAATCTTATGTGATTGTGGAGAAAGACTCTGGTTGAAGCACATTTGGTCACTGGGTTATACAGAGAGAGAATTTAAGGCGGTTTACGCTGTGTATAGTTGGATAAAACAGCGATAACCTTACAGACAAGGTAGTAGAAAGATAGTATCTGCTGATCACTCATAGGAGAGTAAACGATCCTTTGTCACTCGTATCAAATATATGTCTCTCCGCACGAAAAGTGGTCATTTGTCGGACTGTAAAACCTAGCCAATATTTAAAACAAATTTTAGCAAGACCTTATATGAAACTTAATGTACTATGACCAACAGAAAAGGAACGATATAAAAATAAACTGTTATATACTTCTATTGTGTAGTTGTTTAATTTGTCGGGGTTAATATTTCGCGGTTGTCCTGATCAGAACCACTTCGCGGGCATTACACTTCGCGAAGCATGATCAGATTATAATATTACGCTCACAAAAAAACATTTTCCTTTGGGTTGATGGGATTTATTTTACAGGTGTCCTGTGAAAATAAAATAAAACGATATATGGAATTGTTGTTTCATCCTCATTATTTGGCAGGAAACAGGTAATTATTATTTGTTGGCTGTGAACGTTCCTAAGGAACGAGTTTTATTTTACTGCAGATCAAGTTTAAAATGAATGTTGTGTTTCCTAGAGAAAGGAAATTTGTTACGAATACAACATACGTGAATATTACGTTTTAGCAACCTTTTTGAGACATTTAATCATAGAAAAAAGCAGTAAGGTAAAGGTTAAGGTGCAAGATTATAAAAAAAATACCATATGTCTCTGTATTATATATATGTAAACAGTGTTTGTGGTTTATAAGACCACACATTCCTATATCCCTGTCATGCCATACAAAACAATGTATTGAAATACAATATTCTCTCCTAGTCTACTGTAAAACAGTCTTTTTACACACCATCAATTAGATAATTTTAGTACACTAAAATGTTAAGAGAAAAATGTAAGAAAATGTGTCAAATCTTGTCAGAATAATGGCATATATTTCCCCTGAATAAATCACAACTGAGCACAAAGCGAACAAGGCTGACTGAGGTCGGCAAAAAGCATGCAAAGCAAGTGAGATTTTACCTTCATACCATTCACTACAGGTTCTCCTTCAGGTAATATAGCTTAACTTGTATCAAAAGTCTTGTTAGCTTTATGAATTATTGTAAAATATCCAATCAAAATACATGTCATCATTCTCGAGATTTGAAACATTTTTTTTTACATTTTTCTCGACAAATGCATTTCCATGGTCACCACCCTTATTATTTTTACAAGTTTAAATGGATTTTTTTTCCTGAATTGTTACTTTTATTCAGCTTGGAAAATGAACATATACAAAGTGATTTTTTTCATCAGTTATTGAATATTTTTTTCTGAAATCTAGTGTGCATGTACCTCAATTATGTTTGAGAAATATTGGAGGATGACATTTTTGTGACAGGGATTGTTTAATGCTAACGGAATGCATTATTGAATTTGATATACAGTTTGGTGTGGCAGCCATATTGGAATGACCTAACATAGATAAAAGATAAGATTTTAAAAAAGATATGTATATTCACCGAAGCTTGAATGTATTGCAAACATGTAACGGAAACACATTATGAACAATAAGAGTACAACGAATATTAGATGTACATGATCATATAATCCTTATCTAGAATCTAAGATTTGAAGTACAACTTAAGTGATCATTATCTACGTCAACTTGCCTTAATTTATACAAACATGTGTACGGGGGCATACGTTACATGTCAACACAGCAACACGTTGGCGTTTTCATCGGTGTTTTGTTATAATTTAAATATATTTTAAAGATTGTTGTTAATTGATTTTCTTAACATATTTATAACTTTTTATATATTTACCCCTTTTGCATTTATTCTATATTTCATTGTTGATTTGATGTTATTCACTTCTGAATAAAACATATTTTACTATCTCTAAGCTTTTTAATACATATTTTAAAGTGATAGGATATTTAAACGGATAAAATCAACAATAATTTACAATATTTCATCTTCTACTACAGTAAATAACGTGATACTATCACTCTAATTCACCTTTTATATAGCAAGTATGCGAGAAAAATGTGCAATCAAAGTATTGATCTCTCACGGCAACGCATAAGTGATCTTAATTAAAAACATATAATAACGGCACGTCGTCCAGTACTGTAAGCGAGAAGATAATTATCTGTTTTTATAATTCATATAACAAGTTTCATGTTCAAATTTATACAGGTGTTAGTGAAAAGGCTTTATATTTGACTTAATGTATGCTTCATAATAGTTAATAAACCAACTCATATATACACAGGTGAATAGTTACAGAATCGGTAAAGCGTCAGGCAGAAAGCCGATTACCTGTGTAGTGATTTAAAACTAAAACGCTCTGTGTAAAACACAAATATTGACACGAGTGTTACTACTGGGATTGTGGTGTGCTCTGTGGTCTGTAAATACGCCTGATCAATTACCTCATAATGTAACCCTGACCCTGTTACGGCGGCGAGAGATCCATGCTTGTAGAATATACGTACATACAAATGGCGATATTATTTTGTTATGCTGTTTAATTTACTGTACCGGCAAGTGCTATGTTCCATTAAAGCTTATTATTTGATAGAACCTTAAAATGCTGTTTGACAAATCCTCGTAGATACCCATTGCTCAAATCATGTTTGAAATATAATGTATTTCTTTCCGGTTCAGATTTTACTCCCCTTTAAGTAGAATGCACCCAAGCTCCGTATGTTTATTCAACATAAACTATAAAGAACATTATTTTAACTTAATTGTCTGCCTAACTTTCTATTCTTCTATTTAAAAATACATTGCCATAGACCTGAAATTATTGAAAATCGAATTATAGCTCATGAATCCCTGTATCACTGTCATAACTACAAAAGCATTTGAAATTTGTTTCTGGCATAACGTTGGTATAATGAATCAATCATTGAAAATAATTAATAACTTACGATAAGTTCTGAAAACATAATTCAGATAAAATGAAAATAAAGGCAACAGTGGTGCTATAAGTGTTAAAATACAACAGGGTCATACCAGTATCGAACCATGGACATCTAATCAATATTACATGTACTAAACTGTCGCTATAACCATTTACCTACCTGGGCCCACTTGTATAAAACATCTCAAAGTTAAAGAAAATCTCAAGCAATGTATTTTCTATGGAAATTCTTAGACTTGAGGAAATCTCAAGAGTTGAGATGTTTTATACAAGTGGGCCCTGGTCCTGGCCCGATAAAACGAATACCAACTTCCTATTTTTTTCCTGTAGAACTGATATTCAGGAAATGAAAAAATGACCATCTTTTATTTTCTTTGTTAATCGGCAAACTAAAATGCAAACCAAAAAACTACTTTGGATATCAGAATAAATCAAAGCAATACAAATGACGAGATAACAACGTATAAGATTGATATGAATGTCGTAAATGTAAAAACCGTTAACTGATAAATCAAAACACGTTTATTACGTAAAAGTATAGAACTCACGAATAGTTATCTTATCAAACGGCATCCTGTATATAAACTTCGCAAACAAATGTGATAACATATAAGCACGCCTGCCTGTGTAAACATAAAATGATTAGCTAGTAATGGTTAACGGTCAACCTCATGGCTATTACATTCGTTAAGGGGACATTTCACTCTTGATGTCTGAATGCTACTGAATTTAACACAATGCTTCCAATGTAAATTTGATCTTCCAACAACGTTCATAGCTACTGTATTTCTATGGTGTCGTATTACCTGAAATGTTTTATTTATTGTTAAATGTACAAATAAGTCTTATATGTGTGACAAAGAATTCTGGCAAAGAGATTTGGTGAAATCACCAATATGTTTGATAAAGGATTCACCATTATAGTGTCACATTGTTTGCTTAATGTCAACTTTCATTTTATGTAGACAAAAGAGTTAGTACTTCACTCGAACAAAGTAAGATTCTTAAGAAATGCCAAATAAGAAAAGGTTTCGACAGGAAACAGTTATAAATATACACGGTCGATTTACTAGATACACGTCAAGCACAAATATAAACTATCATCGGTTAAACGATATAAATGGGACGTGACCCCAGGCTTATACATTTAATTATCAGAACGCATACAAAATGTAGTATTTTGTTGATAGTATACAGCTGATTGAGAAAGGAATTTATTTCATTTGCGCTGGATGGTGAGCATACGCCTGGTGTGTTTAGTAGAGCATGGAAACTTTATATCAAACACAACTGAATTATCAAGATGACCCACCATTGATAGGTACGCTACCAAGTTCTACTTTATGATCGCGATTCAGGAAGTATTTCGGAATGGGAATTTCAAGCCCGACGTAATGCTGGTCTATTTATAAAATAACACAGAGTCATGTTTCTGTGTTAATCAATAGCCATACCACCGTTACAACGAGTCCTATATGTATTACATACAGGAAGAAGTAAAAATAAACATGACAGTATGTGTCCCAGAAGGGCAAACGTTGCACCGTTTCTGACATCTGTAATAAAGGCTTCCTGTTTAAACAAGAAACAATTACCAGTTACAAGCTGACTATGATATACGTGTACAGATATTTGCACGTGATGCAGAAATATTGTTTGTTTTGTTTGTTTTGTATTGTTTTACGGCCCATCGATAATTTAAGTCATTAAGGGCCAAACAACAGTGTAAATATAGACATTCACAAAAACCATGAATACATAAAAACAAGAAACAAAACGTTAAAATGTGTGAAGATGTCACAATATAACAATAGCAAACGTATTGTTTATAAAATACTCTATATTACCTTAATACTGTAATTTTGAGAGGGAAACTCTTAGAAAAATACAACACCTTTTTGTTATTACTCCTGGTCCCTGTTGATGCCCGTCCTACATCCATTTTAGCAAACGTTAATAACACACCATGTTCAATTGAAGCAATGACAACTGTTAATTTGAAGACGTTGAAAATCAAACATCTGTTCCATAAATTCCGCTTAAGCAGTGTTGCTTCGGTATGTTAAATGAACAATGGTATATCTTTATCGAATTCACTTCCCCTCCTGTGTTGGCAGTCAATCAAAATATTTGTCCAGAATTTCAATCGGTTCCTGATAAACACAAAAACTCGTCACTTATCAGTAGTTGTGGCATTACCTATCCAATCCATTGGCTACTAAGTCCATTTGGAGTTGGGTGTAGTGTCCGTTGGTTATGTCCTTTGGAAATCCGGGACATGCAACATGCCAAACATTTTAACTATCAGGGCTAAATATTCGGGTCTCAGGGTACACCTCCTGGATAGATAAAGGGGACACGAGAGAAAGGCTATACCTGCACACAGCCTATAGAGAAGTGGTGTGGTCTCGACCAGATAGAATCTTGAGACATTTAAACCGATAAAACACTTAAACAAGTCCAACTACCTTCTGTTGTACTGGCATACACACAACGCTAGTTAACTCACCTCCGGATACGTTTTGTCGAAAAGAATGTGTATTGTTACCTGTGAAAAAGTGGTACACGGCTAAGGCGGCTTTAATAGTGACACAGCGACTGGGACCTTTAAACGACTGTAATGACACGAATCATGATGTTCACCATGACTAAGGAGGATGAATGGGGAGCTATCTTATTTTGTCTGTTCATGGATTAAGATTCCTGCTTGAAAAATATGACAACATGACAAAACAACATTATGAAGCTGTTAAAATGGAACTTGTCTATCACGCGTATTATATACAATGTATCTTAAATGTTTGTTAAGTTAAAATGATATGAATAAAAACATATTTCATCTCTATAAAGCATCCTTATTATCATTAAATAGTTGTTATAATCAACTGAATATAAGACAAAAGCCCTAAAATACCGCGATAAAAATTTACCCTTTTTTAGATATGTTAAAAAAAAATTAAAAAAAATAAGCAAAGCAGGGTAAACACTACTAAATCGTTCAATTTGATTACAATTCTGAGTGTTTTCTTAATAGTGGATTTCTATATTTTAGAACTCCTGCCTTAACCCGCCTGCCTCTCTTACTCTGTGAAAGACACAAGTTACACATAAATACAAAGAAAAGACAATTTATTGATAGTAGGGCTTAAACCGTGGTTAGTTTTTAACCTTTACAAAAATATAATGCCTTATAAGAACTCCATTTCACTGATTTTTGGCCTTTATATTTTTATTACTTTATAAATAAGTTCGTGCTGAGGTAATGTGACGTCATTAGCAAAACATGGGGATAAGTAAGTCTGATAAAGCATAATTGATTATTCACGTATCTGTAGTGTTTTTTCATTTAAAGAAATAAAACGTTTGCTTTAAACAATTAAGATTTTTTCTAGCTTACGGGCAAATTATCTGCTTTAGAGCTATTGTTACTTACGCTTGTTAAATATCGATGTTGTTTACGATAAAGTGTAGTTGTCACGCCAAAGACCAAACAAAGGGAAACTCAATCTTTGTTAATTGAAAACAAGACAATGAAGTTATTCGACATGTAAGACGTATATCATTTGTGAAATGAAAAATAGAATATGGATGACAAAATTTGTATTTGAATTAAATATGAATATAAGAGTTCAAGTAGTCTAAACGGAGATATTTTTGTTGATTGTTATTTTTCAGTTAATTTGATCTTAAACTTAAATTTCGATCCTTGTCGATTTATAAATTTTCTAAAATAACCCATTATCATAAAGTAACCATACGCCGTTAACCTGATTGGAAAAAATAGGACTTAAAGCTGCAAGAGGGAAAGCTTGCGGTAATTACTTTAACTGCACTGACATTACCTTTGAAGTGGTGTCAACCTAAACGTTAGCTAATTAACTAGTTTCAACCCTTATATATATGTTTTCAACCTGATTAGATTTCCCTTATACATTAATAGAAAGTAGTAATATGAGGAAAGTGCCAAGGACACAACAAGTCTTCCCACCTCTGTATACTATGAACTTCATGCGTCTCAAATAAACACGCTTCGACGGCTTTTTTAAAATGAAGATATACCAAACTGAAGCTAATATCTCGGAACTACTATGAACATTCTGTTTAGAATATTAAGGTTTAGAATCTTAAACATAATGTCTTTTTTGAAAAGTGGTTTGAGATCTGTTCTTAATTGTTATTATCATAAAAAATATTTTGTTGGCTGAATGTCAATGCAGTCTAATAACAAGTGTTTCACTGTAAATGGTTCGTGACATGCAATGCATTGAGGCTGGTCTTTGCTTTTTAATAAATAAGAATCGGTTATGCAGGAATGACCAATCCGGAGACGGGCAAGAACAACCTCGTCGCGGCGGATTTCTCTATAGCTTGGATACCATTCACCGATTTTCTGTTATACATAAATGTGATACACAGCACATGTATTCGGTATAACACAGCATAAATACTTAAAAGGGAAAAAAAGAAATAAATGTAATATAATCACTATGTAAGATAAGAAACATAATTAAGCGACATAATTATGAAATACATGAGAAGTATTCTATGTGAGGTAGCATACATCAAAAAGGGATATAACTATGAAATAAATAAAAGGTATACCGAGTAATACAATATACATTTTTAAGGAATAATCCTAAATAAATCAAAGAATACTGTGAAAGTTGGCATACATTTTTTAGAAAAATAAGTTGGAATGTATATTATGTAACGTGTAATAAATTCTTAAGGAAGTTAACAATGAAATATATCAAATGTTTATATAATGTAAGGCACCATACGTCCTTAAAGGAGATAACTTTAAAATAAATAAAAAATATACCAAATCAGGCACCATTTACGTATTTAGCTATGACACAGGTCAACGGTGCACTTTGTAAGATACAATTTAGCAAATACGGTAAGAAATCCGTAAATGTCTTTTTTTATTATATCATATTCAATTGTAAGGTAACAGAAAACAGGAAATACGTATAACAGCATATAAAGAAGTGCTTGTTAACATAGAAATCAATGACGTTGTCCTTCCCTAATATTTAGTCATAAAGGACTATAGAAGCATATTTGAAATCTATTCCATTAATTACATAACACTTAATGTATCTGAATTTACAGTTTAACAAATGTCAAATGAAACACATCTCAATGTTTGGCATGTTTGTTCTGTACGTATTATACATTTTTTTGTATCTTCTCGTACGTTTTATATAGCTGTTAATGATATTTCATTACATTAACAAGATTAAAGATTTGTATTTCCACTAAGCCACACTACTGAATGGGAGGTCTAAATGGTAACAATAGAAACCATTTACAAATGAAATTTATCTGACAATAGCTTACATAATTGAAAAATCCATAACGCTGGGTTACGTCAGGATTATTTACAGAAAAAGAGTGTAACACGCCACAGATATAATAGACTAAACTTGTTCAAATAGGAAGTGAGAAAATGGCTTTAATATCATCGTTGTTTTATTGAAAATATAACTTATCTCAACGGGCAGGTGATTGCTTTAGCAAAACATTAAACGGTGATAAAAGTATGCAAACATACCGACATGACATAAAATTAAAATTCTTAACTTCTTTTTGTCGTACATGTACAGATATTATGGATGTTTAATTTTGCTCTTGTGCTTTTAATCATTATGTACAAGTCTATATAATAGGTTTTGTGTACAGTGTGTGCAATTGTATATTATCATATTGTATATGTCTTTTTGGATCATTTTTGATATCTAAAAAAACTTGGATGGAATTTCCAAATCCTACACCCCTGGACATGAATGAGTCTTATAATGTTGATATGCAGTGTGTTTTAATATCTACATTTAAGTGCAGTATAGGTCTTTATTGATATTGATCATATATTTATATAAATGTACAATGTTTTTTTAAGGTTTATATAAATGTTGATGTACAGTGTATTCCGAGGTCTAGATTCAAATCGATGTACAGCGTAGGTCCTGTTAAGTGTAATAAAAGGTATCGAAGAAAGTTTTTTTTGCAAAAACTGTTTTATACATGAAGCTGTGTCATTGGGACCAAACTGATTTAAAGTTTGATGCGTCATTGTGTGCCGATTTGTTTGTTTAATTCTACCCAGAAATTGAATGTATCAGCTAAAAAGTGCAGCAAATCAAGGTGTGTATTGGAAACCATCATTGTCGGAAATTGCCACGTTGTAAAGGATCGAAAGACACTTTGGTTCTTTATTATAAATAGGTGTAGATATACAATGACACACAATGTTGTGCTTCTTTCAGTTCTGTTGCCAGATTATATAATGCTGTCGTTAAGATATGATAAAGAATATTTACCATTTTAGACCTGACAGATACCTCTTTTGTCGACCCGGACGACACAGTAATGCTTCATAATGTAAATCGACTTCGTTACATTTTCCTTACATGTCGTCACAAAAGAAATTCAAGAGCCCAGTTCTCAAAACTTGATTCGGTTAATTAAGATTTGAACCGTGGTACATGTACAAAAATGTATTTCATTTTTTTAATTCTGAAATTCATTCCTAAAATTGTAGTATTAAATTCATTATAATCATTTGACATATTGGAATTACAAACGAATTCGAGAATCTGTGGATAATTCGCAAACCGAAATGTGCTTGAGAACTTAAATTGCGTATACGGTAAGCTGGTAATTTTTGCCCTTTTTGACAAATAGAAAAGCTTAATCAAAATATTATAAAAAAGGCCGATAATCGTTAGGTTTAGTAGGTGATGTGTTCTCTTAAATAGTGTCAAAAATCACTGCACGGACACTTGATATGGTATAAATACAGTATACATAAACAACACAACATCATCGTCATTCATCAAACTTAAACTGTAAGAAAACAAAATCATCCAAGGAGATATCGATGCAAATCGGATAATTACATAAAATATCTGTTAACGGTGAATGTAAAAACAAGGTGAGGAACAAGGGTAAATACCTCCTGCCGAAGACCTCTGTCCGTTTATATGTATATCTAATCACAAATTTCACATTTAACCTTAAACATGACATTAGTAAGATATGGCATAATCCCCTGAAAACTGATATACTTTGTAGTTCTCAAGGTTTCCAAGGTAACATGGTGGTTATGGTAACAATAATAACTGTCTTGTGAAAACATAACCCCGATTGACGTGTAATCGATATGTGACGTACTTGATAAGGTGAGGGTGCATTGTGCATTTTGTTAATACTGTGGTATAATGTGCAAAGAAATGCCAATCAAACTGTCCGTGGAGGAAAACAGTGAACCAAGGAACGCACGCAACGAGTATCAGAGGATACATGAATGTCACGTGAAGCAGTGCGTCTACATAGCTCCCAAGGCCGTGTATTGTACTTACTGACTTAATAGTACAGTATATAGCAGCAACATTCATAAGCATTATAGCTATAGTATTTCCTTGAAATCAATTAATTTCTATGTATACCTATTTGTGATAAAATAGATTTATGTACGTTTCCAGGCGAGTGCTGGATGGTTTTCATGTTTATCTCAAGACGCAATATGTAGTTATCTCATTCACCC